TTCTTTGGCATTTAAGGATATAGTTCTGTTCCGTATTAAACTAGGAGCTTGTCATGTGACTCTGACTTCTCCCTCCCTCTGGGCCGCCTCTGCCCAGCATCCAGAACAGGGTTCCTGGATTGTCATTCTACCTCTACCAAACAAAAATATGCTAGATTAAGAATGCTAGTGGGAAGCTTAGCACAGTGACTGGCACATAGTAGCATTTGGTAAATGCTTCTTGACTAAGAAAATTACATTCCAATCATCATGGGTCAATAATCAGGGATGATGTTACATTCACTGATACTGGTTTCTTCCAACCCTGGTTTCCCCAGAATGAAAGGAGAAAGGAAGGTGATGCCCTTTATTGAGATGACTGAGAAAGGAACAACTTTCTAAAAGTCATACAGCAAAAGTTCAAATTGAGGGGCAGCTAGGTGGTGCAGTGGATGGAGCACTGGCCCTGAAGTCTGGAGGACCTGAGTTCAAATCTGGCCTCAGACCAAACACTTGACATTTCCTAGCTGTGTGACCCTGGGCAAGTCACTTAACCCCAATTGCCTAAATAAATAAATAGAAAGTTCAAATCCAGCCTTAGATACTTACTGTGACCCTGGGTAAGTCACTTAACCCTTGTCTGCTTCAGTTGCCTTAACACTAAAACGGATATATTAACATCTACCTCCTAAAGTTGTTGAGAGGATAAAATGAAATAATAATTCTAACGTGCTTAGCACAATGTCTTGTACATAGTAGGCACTTAATAAATGTTTCTTTCCTTACAAAATAAGGAAAGGAACAACATAGTCATCCCACTCCCAGACCGCAGGGTCACTCTCCTCCGTTTTCTACATTTCTCTTTTTCTTCATGGAGGCCAAGCTTTTGGTCCTGGAAAAGGAACTTTTTTGGAAAAATTGACTCTGAGTACAAAAATTGTGTTGTCCAGCAGTCAGGGCCATGAGCTCACCTACATGACTACTTGGATTCCCAAACTGCCTGAGATCATTTCATTCTTGTCTCTGCTTCCTACCAAAAAGACCAGAAGAGGCCTCTTCTTGTCTATAAGAAAGAGCATAACCCACTTTGGGTCACCCACCAACCATTATATCCCTTCAGCAATCAGGGCATTATTTCTTTTGTCTAACCTCAAACTTTCCTGATATAGCTTCTAATCGCTGTCCCCCTCTGAGGTCCTTAGCACTCACAGTAATGACTGGCAATAGTGCTTGAGCCCATGAAAAGCAGTTTAAAGATATTATTTCATTTGATTCTCACAGCATTCCAGTGAAGACTGGTACTATGGATGTTATCCCCATTTTACAGATAAGGATGTTGAGTCTGGGAAAGGTTAAGTGACTTGTGCCTGGTCACATACTTAGTGAATGTCAGACAGACTTGAACCTAGATTTCTTCTCACTTCAAGTGCTACTCTTTCCATTCCACCAAACCTGGGGGGGGAAAGCTGGTGGTTCCCTTCCTTGTGGATCATAACCCTTCCTGGGGATGAAAATCTGCTACATCCATTGACCATGGATGAGCCTGATACCATCTGTCTCTAGTTGTGGGTTGATGGGCATGAGGAGCCCTCTCAGTGAAGCAGCTCTGGAAGGATGAACCAAATCTTCCCCTATAGGAAGTCAACAGATGGTAAACCCTTCTCAACAGCTCAGAAGCCAGATGCCTTCACCCTAATGAGCCACCCTTCTAGGACAGGTCCCCCAAATCAATATAAGGGCACTAAAGTTCATGAAAAGCTATAATCCCGAGCCTGCAAGTGCCCTGCAGAGATCACCAGCGTCAATCCCGTCTTTTACCCTAGATGGGAACATAACTTGTAAGAAGATGCCACCATTCTCCTAAGTCATCCAATTTAACAGGTTAAATATCCCAGATTTGAAGCTGTTCCTTAATTTTAACTACAACCCTCTCTTTTTCCCTTGCAGTCTATTTCTTTCTATTTGACACTCAAGGGAGAGGGGGAACTATCAGGTTTCTATTCTCTGTAGAAAAAAAAAACTTTCTAGTTCCCATTCTCCCCTTCCCCTGGATTGGATAACAGCTCCTTCCATTTTCTTCTTACCATCTTTCCCCCCATCTTTTCTAATCCTTCTTCAAGTCCCTCTTTTCTTTAGCAGAGCTCTGTTCCTCCCCACAGTATCCCCTACCCCTGCCCCTGCCCCTCTTGTCTCCACTGCTTCCAGCTGGTACCTGGACAACCAAGGACCCCTCAGCACCTGTCCTGATAAGCCCTGCTGCAGTCCTTCCCCCTGGTGCTACCAGAGACCATGCACCTGTCCTCATAGTTCTGCTTATAACCTACTCCTCTGTCCCTAAGTGTCTGATGGACAGTCTCCCTCCCCACCAAGTTCCCCAAACCTTTCCTTTTAGTGGCCCTTCATCATCTGATCTTTTGCTCTCAAGGCCAGGATGGAAAAACAACTAGTTTGGCCCTCTATTTTAGCCCGCATCTCTAGCCTCAGCCTAACCTTCTCCTCCACCCCCACCCCCAGCCTTGTTCTTCAACAGAGCTAATGGAGTCTGGCCATGAGGGTCAGAAAGAAATCCTGTTCTCTATTCTTTCCCCAACCAACCTCTTCCCCTTTCCCTCATGGCTCATCAGGAAAGAATGGGAGAAGAGAACTCAAGTACGGTGTGTTCATTTAATATTAACAAATTGAAATGAATTATTTTAATGCCAATTAACTTGGAGCAGTCCCTTTTAATAGTAATTTAGATTCATATTTCAGAGAAGCAGAACATGGAGCTGGCCAAATGTGACCAGAATGTCAATGTGAAAGACAGGCGGGTGGAGGGCAGAGAGGGGGAAAATTAGTTTCACTTGGACAGAGTTTGAAAGGTTTGAGTAAGAGTCTCTCCAGTGGCTAGTACATACAAAGTCTTCTTCTGAAGCTTTATTGTGGTTAGCATGACTGATACTGTATTTTTGTGGTTAGGGTTCATTTTAATATACCAACTTAATATACCATATTTATGCAATTTGCATCATATTTCTTAACCATAACCACCACAATAACCAGAATTACTGCTTCTTAAGAAGCCGGTTTTGTTTTAAAGTGAAATACCTCAAGGTTTTGAGGGGGTTAGAACATCATGTTCCACTCTTAACCCTATTCTTTTGTTGGTTCAAACCTGGAGTAGCAAGTCAATTTCTCTTCTACCCTCCTTCCTCAGGTGTAAGAGAAGCAAATTGTTAAGTCCCAAATAAAAAGAGTTACTTTTGATCAGCAAAGTAGGAGACACATATTACTGACAGTGACAGGGAGAGCAGGACAGAGAAACAAGCAACACAACAGTAGCTGATATTTTGAAATAAGGTTGCCCAAGTCCTTAGAACCTAGAGATCCATTGGGGTAGATCTCAGCTAGGACTGGCCCATAAGAACATCTCACTTCAGTTCTGGCTTGTAAAGTCTTGGACCTGGGGGTTGGGGGGGGAAGGAAGAAGGACTTGGGGTTTGGTCAAAAGTGAGATGTTACCTTCTAAGGGGGAGTCTCTCGTCTCTCTTCTCTCTCTCTCTCTCTCTCTCTCTCTCTCTCTCTCTCTCTCTCTCTCACACACACACACACACACACACACACACACACACACACACACACACACACACACCCTCTTTAACAATTTAGGACTGGAGACGAGAGGGAGAAGTGTGATGAGTAAAATTATGTTGGAAAGAAGCAGAGGAAGAGAACATGGGAGCCGTTCACACCGGGCTCCTGTCTAGGCAAAGATTGCAAGAAAGAAGAGGAGAAAGAGAAAGACAGAAAAGGGGTTGAGGGGAAGAGAAGGGAAGAGACGTTTACTAAAATAAATCTCCCCCCAACACGAAATTAATTGAAACACAAAAATGTGATCTCCTTTCCCAGAAGTCAGATTTGTAAAAGAAATGAAACTAAGGAAAAGAAGGATTAAAAACAACAAAATAAAAGAGAAAAACTGATGGTGGCTGAGTGGGTGAAATTTACAAAAGAGAGAAAAACAGAAGCATCTTTTAAGAAGGCTTGAAATTAGGTACGAGAGAGCAATTTTGGTTAACCAATTCCCCAATCGTCTCCCAAAAGAAGTGATCTTTCTTGTCCAAGAGATAAATTAAAACATATCAAAACAAAACACAAAAGATAAAGTGTCTCCCCTCACTCAGATGACAAAGGAGGTGACACGTGCCAAAGCTTGAAACTTGGGGTTGGGGGGAAGGAGGAGAAATAGTGAACGTGGAAACTTCCCAAAATATTATTGTTCCAAATGACCGAAGAGATCGGCGGGGAAAGACTGGGGAAAGAAAGAGAACGAACTTGACATCTCTAAAGAAAGGAAACTTAGAAAACTAAAATGAAACCGATATCTGAAAAGAAAAAAAAAACCTCCAATGAGGAACAAACTATTCCTCCGGGAGAGGAATGAAATGAAATTTATCGGAAGAGTGAAAGTTACCTTCAAAGAGAAAGATGAAATAGAAACAAGTAAAATGTTTACAAACATTATCCCCAGCCCGGGGGCTAAATTGACCGCACCAAAGGAGATGTTCTCTACCCCTACCCCACACCCCAAGGAAACTTAGAAACTTGGAAGTGAAATGTATTAATGGGGAGTGGCGTAGTTTGCAGGTGTCTTGGGAGGGCCCCAGACCCAAAGTGAGAGGTACGGGCGGGGGGGGGGAGGGGGAAGGGGTACATGGCTTACCTTGCTCGGGAGTCGATGCATCTTGAGAAGGGGAGTGGGCTAAGGGAAATGTAGATGGGGGGAAGGGGGGAAGAAAGCAGGTTAAGGAAAGCGAGGTGTCCAGGGACTTCGTGAGTAGGGAGGAGAAACGGGGATGGGGGGCGGGGTACAGAGTCTCTCCCCTACTCTTTGCCCACCTCCCTCCCTCCAGCTCCCGGGCGGAGAGAGCCACTGAAAGTTACAAATTGCTTCCATTATTAGCTCATCCCAGGCGGCTTGGTCATTGGTCAGGACTGGATCACGTGATCCCCCTTACCAATCGATCGAATTTCTTGTTGCAATTCTCTGTCCCCCGGCTCCTGGGAGGGAAGGGGGCGGGCGTTCGGTGTTTCTGGGACTGGGGGGATGGGGAGGCAAGGAGGGGGTCCCTTAGCCCCCTCACCCTCCCTTTTTGCCATGTCTGGATCATGAGCGCCGCCCCAGAAGGGGTAGAAGGGGTTGGGGCATACCCTGGAGGGCCGAAACTGGAGAGGCAGAGAGACGTCGCTAGGGACTCAGACTCCATTCAGTCCAGCCCTCCTGGTCACACTGGCCCGGTTCGTCACACCTTATACAACGCCCTTTCTACTTCAAGCTATCCCCGAGAGACCTCTCTGCCTCCCTTTCTTACTGACTTTGGTTGCTCCTCTCCGGGGTACCTTGCTGCACCTCCCTGCATGGGCGGGGGTGTGGAGCTGTACTCACCCTATACCTTAGGCCGCTATGCCCCCAAGGAGACCGACCAGGGGGCCAAGTGAGCGAAATTTCTGGGACCCTTGGGAAGACTGCCAAACTTTTGAATGGATGAAAACCAAGAGGAGTCCGTCCAGAGCAGGTGAGCTGGGGACTGGTAGGGGGCATTACAAGGAGAGGCACACGTTGAAAACACTATTTCCACTCCTCAACTTCCACTCCTCTATCGGGGTGCAAAAAATGGTCCAGTTAGCAGAGCATTGGCTGGTGGGGAGAAGGGTCAGCATGTGCCTCCTTTGCGTGGGGGAAAGTAACAGCCTTGAAGTTTTAGTCTTAAGCGGGATGGTATGGTATACGACAGGAAAATGAAGGCATGATTCTAGAGACCGAGAAAAGAGAAAATGAGAAAATTGTTGGAGGGAAAGGGAAAGGGGGGCTAATTGAGAGGGGGACACGAAAACTCGTTCTCTCGGGTATCCTGCCAGGAACAACTTGGGGAAACTTTTCCGAAGGGAAATAGAGACTGGAGCTTATTCGTTGGGTTTAAAGTGGGCGGAGGAAGTGGAAACTTTATCGGCTATTACTCAATTTTTATTTCAGACACTTAAGGATATTACTTTATGCTGGTTCTGGCCTGTTAGCTTTTTAAATGATTGCTAATTTTCATTGATAAATATTCCCTTGGTAGAAGAGTTGCCTCCGGGCCTATCCCTAAAGGTCAATTGAGATCTGTACTAGGGGGGCCAGAGTTTGTGTGTGTTGGGGAGGGTTTTGGGGGGGGGGAGTTGAAAGATTAAACTATAGTAAATAGTCCGAGACTGAGCTTCTAGGCTCACCCCAATTGGAACGAAGTTCACTGTCCTGGACCTCCTGAGGAAAGAGTCACAGTTTCCACTGGCCTGCTCTTCTGGGTCTTTCAGTGAGGCAGAAACCCCTTCGGGGCACAGCAGGAACGAAAGAGGACTCTGTTGGAACGGTCTGGGTGGGTGCTTGATTCCCCAAAACCTCTGAGATAAACATAGAGTAATCGGAAGAACCAACATTTCTAAGCTTAGTTCGGGGTAATGACCCTGTTCCCGTCCTTCCACACCTCTCCCTTGACTGTTTTTCCCTACTCTTTTTAACTTCCAAAATATGTGTGTGTGTGTGGGGGGGGGGGAATCCTGCCCAGAGAATCAATCAGTCAGGTTCAGTTACCTCTCTTGGAAAAAAGCAATTGAGGCGAGTTTGACACTGTCGGGAAACCAAGGTCAGGGGAGTTCTGAGACTGAAGATGGGTGCGAAGGGAACCCCGAATCATTCAGGTTTGGAGTCTGGAACTCGAGGTTGGCTAAACTTAACCTTGCCTTCTTTCCAGTGTCTCGGAAGCTACATTTAGTGAACTTTTCGTGGGTCGAAGAAGTCCGCTTACGATTGGGACGGCTGAATGGGATGCCCCCTACTTTGGGGTTTGGAGGGGAGAGGGAGAGATTGACAACACACACCCAAATGGAAGGGAAATTTTTGTCCAGTTCCCCATGGGGACTCACGTCTCAAAAGGCTTTTGAAATTCTAAAGCGGATGGCTGGATGGAAGGATAGACAGATGGAAGGACATATGGATTTTAAAAAAAAGAAAAAAGATTGAAGAGAAGAAAGGATGAGAGAGGAAGGAAGGGAGAAAAAGAGGCGCAGAAAGAAAAGAAAAAAAAGGAAAAGACACTGAGAGAAAGGAGGGGGAGACAAGCCCCCGATCTCTCTTTATTCCTGGAGACGATCCCAGTGCCATTAGACCCAGCCAGCCTCTATCGCTTTGTTTTTCTGTTTTGTTTCATTTTTCGGTTCATTTTCGGGCTCAGACCCTGTGCAGGGCTAAAGGAGGAAATTGTTACCCATCCCCAAGAGGACGTGAAAGTTCGCCTGTAGCAAAATAAACCGTTACTGCGATAAGTTGTTGTTGTTTGTAAGGATACTTAATAACAAAAACATTTTGAAAGCGAGGCTTCTTGCTTTCCATAGATAAAGAAAACAATTCACTCCACCGTGGAAGGGAGAATCGGGGGAGGAGAACCTATTGGAAGCTAATGAGGCTGTGGCCCCGGCCCGCAGGTTTGGGGAAAATCTCTTTTTCCGTTGACTCCGGAAAACACTGATATGAGAACTGGCCCAAATACTTAGGGGCTTTATATAGACGCTACATTTCTTGTGAGACTAGCTCTAGACTTCAGATTCAAACAAATAAATGTAAATAGAGGGCTTTTGTACCTTCTTTTATTAAGTCAAGAATCCATCACACTATGCAGCCCCAGTGGATCACGTGATCCAAGACCCCATTACTGTGTAGTAGAATGATTAGTCCCCTCCCTGAATCCCGTGGCTAATGTGGACTTCGGAGAGGAGGCAGCTGTCTTCAGGGATGAATGATGAGGCACGATCGACTAATAAGTTTGGAGAAAGGCAATGAGACTCCCCCCTCCGTGCCAGCCCCCTGGACCCCCACTTCTGGCCATTCCTTATTAGCTATCCATTTGCGCTTGGTCCTTTTTTTCCCCCAAACAAGTCCCCAAGCTCCTTATGGAAGCACCAAGTTTTCTCTCTAGATTTTTACTGGGATTTAAGCTTTACGGCATCGGCAAGTTCCCTTTCCCCCTAAGAAGCCCTATGGTGGTGGTAGCAGTGACCTAAACCTGCAGGGGGGAAAGCGCAAAGTCTGGAGCCCAAGGACAATGAGGCTAAGATTCTTTGAGACTTTAAGAAGCTAGGCACCGGATGGATGGCAAGATGGAGAGCTTGGGGAGGGAGGGCCTTGTGAGGAGAAGGACATAAGGCAGAGAACCGAAAAATGAGAGGACCTCGAAGTAGTGAATCAAAAATACTGCGACTAAAAAACGAAGGACAGGGAAAGGAAATTTTAGAAACAGCTAAGAAGAGAAAAGGTAGCTAGAAGGAAAGAATAGAGGTGTGGACCAAATTGAGAGAAAGAGGGAGAAAACGGAAGGAGAGGAACAGGAAGGGACTTTAAGAGATAGGGAAAAGAGAGGGAAGAAAATGAGTGTGAAAGAAAAATTGAAAAGAGGAAGAAAATTAGTAAGGTTAAAACCTCTGCCCATAAATCTATAACTATATCTAATACATAATTTTAATATACATAAAAGGTACTCATATGTATAATATATATACATAAAATGTAATGCATCTATAAAATATATATAATACAACATACTTTAAAAGACAGAAAATGAGGCAGAAAAAGAAAAAAGGAATTAAGAGAAGGAAGGAGAAACTGACAAAAAAGGCGGGAGAGAAAGAAATTGATTGTATCGGGAAAGGGTTGCTGGTGGTTACTGGGATTCAGTATGCTGCCTGCTCTCTGGGGCTCCCGTGGCTGGGTCATCTCAGGCGCTGACTCTTTTCCTCCTCTGTGCCCAGCCAAGCCTGGAGGGGACAGCAATTCTGGGGAGCCCGAGGCGGCGGCGGCAGCAGCAGCAGCGACGGGCAGTCCCCGGACCAGCTTCTCTACCAAACAACTGACTGAGCTGGAGAAGGAGTTTCACCTGCAGCATTATCTGCCCAGGTCTCGCCGGGCAGAGATGGCATCTGCACTTCAGCTTAGCGAGACTCAGGTCAAGATCTGGTTCCAGAACCGGAGGATGAAGCAAAAGAAGAGGGAGAAGGAGGGGCTGGGTGGGGGCTGGGTTCCCTCTGATGCCCCTTCCCTGGTTTACTCAGCCAGCACAGTGCCCCTCACTCCCACTCGATGACACTCCCAAGCACCATTACCCACCCCTACAGGTGATCTGGGTAGCTAAGACAAGCAGCATGTTTGTGTGTGCACAGTAGCACTTTCTGAGCCTCATTGGGCTTGGAAACCAGGATGGCCCTGGCTTATGTTTTTTAAATCTGACCAAGACTGGTTGGGGATAGGGTAGACTTACCAAGTTGCTGAAATTCATATACACCTGAAACAAGTAATCCTCCCAGCCTCCTGAGACCATACCCTTCAAAATTAAGGGCTTTCTGGTACCATAGAATCCAATAGTTTTGTTATCTGGTTCAGGTGGAACTGTTTTTAAAATCCTGAAGAATATGAGAATGTGTGTGTGCAGTGAGGGTGAGGGGTGGGGATGGGGAATAGAAGTGAGAACCTTGTAGTTAATGAAGGAAAGGAAAATCTCTAATCTAGGCATATATCTTTATTCCACTAAACACACACTTATTTGCAACATGGCTTTCCATTCAGCCTCTCCAAATTGTATACATACCTACACAATGCTATGCAATACACTGAGCATCGGCAAGTTCCCTTTCCCCCTAAGAAGCTCTATGGTGATGGTAGTAGTGACTTAAACCTGCAGGGGGGAAAGCACAAAGTCTGGAGCCCATCACAGCCCCTAGCCTGGGTCCCTCCATCAAAGCAAATCAGTTCCACTGGGACCATGAGTCTTCAGGGTAGTGAGACCCCGGATCCTATGGGACCACACTAGGATGGTGAACCAATGCCAGAAAATGTCCGTGCTCATTATGATGCATGATTTATCAGGGGCCCTGTCTTGTGCTGACCATCCTCATGCTTATCTTCTACATTCCCAGAACTGTCCAGGCTCTAGCACTCCCTCCCCAAAACCCCCCTGTCTTCCCCACTCCAGCTACTCTAGCTGCCTAAGCTTTCTAAGAAAGAATTTGCTCACTTACTCATAAATACCCTCATCACCCAATCCCAAACTAGAGCCCCATTATTTATTTTCATGTTCCAAGAGGCTTTTCTATGTGGCCTCTGGGCAGGATGAAACAGACGCTACCTATTAACAATTAATTACACAGACTGCAAATATTGGGATTGGAGAGAGCCTACTGGAAGAATTGGAAAGCTCTGGTAACCACGAGCAGGGTGAATAGGACTGTTTGTTGTAATCATTGTCATTATGCTTGCTTCTCTGTCATCTTTTTATCTCATCTCTGCTCCTCAGCTTAGCCTAGGAAATCCTTCTCCATCATAATCTAGCCAATGTAGGCTATCACACATATGGCCCATCCACAGTAGTACCCAGAGTGCTATATCAAGTACAGTTGGGACACTGTACTATGTTTAGGGCTCAGAAGGGACTTGAAGGCAGACAGCCATGCCAGTGGACTTATTTCCACATTTCAGGTTCATTTCATGGACCCTTTTCCTAGAAAATAGACAAATCAATTCACTGCTTTGAAAACCATTCCCAGGAAAATATTGTATGTAGCTGGGAAGATGGTTATTCACAGGCCTGAACCAGAGACCAGACATCCCAATACCCATGCTACTCTGTTAAGAGTTCCCTCCCTATTCCTATTTGGAGATCTGGGAACCTGCCTGAAAATTCCCTGGTGAGGGTGACCCCAAACTCAAATCAAGACAAAGCAGGCAGCTTCATCTTTGATCTCGGAGATCAGAATACAGTGGTGTTTATTCCCCACCCCTAGCTGAATCTCTGCCCCTTGGTGCTGCTAATAGAATGGAATGGTGATCTCCCAACTCTGGAAGACTGGCCAGGAACAAATTCAAATCCTCTACAAGGAAAAGGACAAAAGCCCTTGCATTCTAACCTGTCATTGATCTGTTTTGAAGGAACTTAGGAGTCAAAATTGCAGCCATAATTTCCTAACTGGTCTAAAATAAGCATTTCATATTTGGGCCAAACTCTGGTTTCTCATGGTGAAAGGTGAAGAGCGATGATTAAAAAGATTTCTCACCCTCCTCACTCAGGTCAAACTGGTAGGGATTCGAGAGTTTAAGACTAGGGATTTTCAAAATATAGAAATCATGTCTACCTCCGTTGTTTTTTTAATGACTATCAAAAGTATTTTTATGGGTTTGGGGAGGGAGGGAAGGAAGGAAGGTCCAAATGTGATGTGGATAAAATAAATGTGGATGTGGATAAAATAAAATAAAATGATGGGACTTAAAGTTTGGTTTGAATTTTGGTAGTGCTGGATTAGAAAATTTTGCTGCCTTGCCAGCAAGGCTGTATTTCCTTGTCCTGAACATATTCTATTGATTGGAAAATAGAAAAGATTTTTCTAGGCTGGTTTAATGAGAATTGGGCTGTGGGAACTTATTCCATCCTTTCCCCTGTTATCTGGGATTAGCTGGTTAAAAGGAAAGACCTCAAAGTAAGAGGGTTGGACTCATACTTGGGGATTTGAGACAGAAGATAGAGAGACCTTGGAATGAGGGAGAAATGTCCCTTTATCCTTGCGTTTATAGGGTGTGTCTATGTGGGGGGGGGGGGGTGTTAGTGCCGGGAAGATAATGGTGTGTCTGTATGGGAGTAATCTATTTAAATTTTCTTGCACCTGTATAAGTGCATATCAAGGTGACAGGAAGGGGTTGGGTTCAGGTTTGTTTGAGATCTTATGAGTAGGTGCCTCTGAATAGGATGTATGTGTGTACCTGTGTCAGAGTATTTAGGGATGGGGTGTGTGTGTGTGTGTGTGTGTGAGTGAGAGACTATATTTCTGAGTGTGTGCTGCTGTGTGGGTGGATCAGGATACTTCTGTGCATCTCTGTGTGAGGACCAGCTGAATGATTATAAAATTACAACACTCCTTACAGAAAATCCATATCAGCCTCTGCCTTTCACCCCCGACCTCCTGACCTCTGATGTGCCCGAGGACAGAGCTGACCCGGTCACTGCCTCCCCCCAGTCAATGAGTCTCTAGCCATTAGCATAAAACATGAATCTGTTGGCAGGTTGACAAATTATAACTTCCAGCCTGAGTTTTGCCAACTGGCTTGCTCGGCTGCTGTCTATTTATCACTGGAAATGGTAAATCATAAGAATCCAGATGACTTAATTATTCAAATCCAGGATGGAGAGAAGCTGCAATTGAGTCAATCTCAAGCCCTGGGCTTTAGGGAAAGGGATGGAAAAACAACAATGTTCTGCTCTTCTGGGATGTGAGAGGCAGGCAGGCTGGGAGAGCCAAGACAGTCCTATTGTATCTGATCCAATCAATGCCCCCGCCTCCTCCTCTGCCTCCTCCCTTCCCCACCTTCTCCCCCTTGTCATTCTCTGCAGCCTGCCCAGTCTTTCTCTTTCAGATTTCTTTCTAGTCATTCTAGATCTTAAGTTTTCTATGTCATCCTTTCTGACTTCTTGGAAATCCTTGTGGCCCTCCCTCATGGCTATTGGAGCCACTATTTGACTTTACTTTTCATTCATTCATGGTCTTTGGACTCTCTCTCCTCTCCTCTCCTCTCCTCTCCTCTCCTCTCCTCTCCTCTCCTCTCCTCTCCTCTCCTCTCCTCTCCTCTCTCTCTCCCCTCCCTCCATTCCTCCCTCTCCTCCTTATGTGTCTTGCTCTCCATGTCTCCATTTCTCTCCTTTCTCTATGCCGATGAGTCAACATCCAATTAGTGGGTTTCTGTGTATTTGTACCTATCTGCAAGCATTTGTGTGTGCATATTAATATTGCTATGTGCCTGCATTACAGTTATGTATGTGTGCACCTCCCAGACAATTCCTTGTCTTTCAACAAATGACAATGTCCCCACCAGCAGGATGCTTGGTGAAGCAACCCCCACAATATTATCAAGTCCATCCTCTTGGCCTCTAAACATTGAGACCACAGACTACAAACATTTTTTATTGCATTATATAGGAACAGAAACTCCTCCCTTCATAGACCATACTAGTGCCTCCCAAGACTCGCTTTTTGGGGGGGTCTTTAATAAGTTTTTATTTCTTTTTACATCACAGTGATTTCTGGAAACATTCTTCCTCCACACCCCATGCCCCAAAAGTGTATCATCCCCACCACCAATAGGAAAGAAAAATAGTCAAATGAAAACACTATACAGTAACCATATTTGACAATATTCTTCCTTAGTAGTCCTCTGCCTCTCTACAGAGAAGAAGGTATGGATGCTTCATTATTTGTTCTTCAGAATCTTTATTGGCTTTTCAAGTACTCAGAATTCAGCTTCCTCCTTCCTTCCATTCTTAGTGATCTTTTCATTTGCACTGTTGTAGTCATTGTTTATTTTATTCTTTTGGTTCTCCTCATTTCACCCAGCACCAATTGGTACAAATCTCCCAGACCTGCTTTCTGGACTCTAACCTTCACCTACTTTTTGTATCTCCAGTGCTTATCACAATGCCTGGCACACAGTAGGCACTTAATAAATGTTTATTGAATGAAACCTCTCGTCTTTTCCTCTCTTCTCTTCAGAAGTTGGGGAGAGATGTGTCTAGACAAGAGATCTTGCCTGTTGCTCGTCCCTGGTGCCTAGTTGTCGCCCTTATCCACCTTATTTCTTCCTCCACCATGTCCCAATCCAATTCTGTCCTTTTGCTGTGCCCTCTGGAGTTCTTCTTATCTATAATCAAATTTCTCTTTATTTTTCATCTTTTCTTCTCATGGTCCTCCTAGCTTCTGGAAGTCACCAAGACTTCACTCACCCCAGATGACATTGCTGTCTGATGACATCCTTTCTAGTACTAGTTGCAGGTTTTCTCATACTGCCCCCCCCCTCCAGTTTGCTGGTCCTAGAAAGGGAGCAGGAATACTTCTTGCTTTCCATTGCCACCTCCAGATTCTCTCTCTACTACCATTAATTGGTAGCTCCTCCTCTGATTTCACTGTATCCAAATGTATCACCCAGTCCAGATCCTGGTGACTGTATCTGCTGATTCCCAGGACAGTCTTCCTCCTTTCTCAACACATTCTGTGCCTGGCTCAGTCTTCCTGTCAACTTCAACTCCTGCCCTCTTACTAGGGGACTTCCACATAGCTGTTGGTGTTCCCTCAGAAATATTAACTTCCCCATGCCGTATCTACTCAACTGTGACCTATTCCTCCACTCCACCTGCGCTACACAAAAGGGTGGTAACACCATTGATCACCCACAGAGGTCCTACTTTTAGGACTCAACTTCCTTTATCTGACTATAATCTATCATTCCATCTTACTCTTTCTAAACCTATTCTTCATCCTCCACACATTCTTTTCCAGACCACCTCACCCCCACCCCTTTCAGGTTCTACTTGCCCTCCTTTCCGATCTTGAACCCTTGGCAAACCAGTTTTACTCTCCTCTCAAAAACTATGCCCTGAGGTAGCTAGGTGGCCCAGTAGATAGAACACCTGCCCTGGAGTCAGGAGGACCTGAGTTCAAATCCAGCCTCAGACCAAACACTTGACATTAGCTGTGTGACCCTGGGCAAGTCACTTAACTCCAATTGCCCTCACCAAAAAAACAACCAACCATGCCCTAATGCTGCTCAAGGCTTTGCCTTGCAAGGCCCCAACCTTGGATTAAGCCCACCCTCTTCCTCCCCTGCTCCTATGAACATTCTGCTGGATGGAGCTGGAGGAAATCACACAAACCGTTCAGACTGGGTTCACCACAAATTTATGTCACTTAATCTCATCTGAGCCCTCACTACAGCAGGGAAATCCTTCTACTCCTCCCTAATTGATTCTCTATCCCACTGATTATAGTGGCTGCTTCAGACCTTCTTTTCTCTTGCCTTAAGCACTTCCCCCACCCTCCAGGTTTAGGACTTTGCCTCATTCTCTATAGAGAAAATCAAGGCCATTCACTATAAGCTCCCTTTTCTCCCCTTCTCAATTCACAAAACTTTGACATCATTCCTTGCTATTTCCTCCTTTACTCCTGTCTCTGATGAAAAAAATAGTCCTTCTTCTTACATGTAGGCTTGCTCCCATCCCCTCCAATTTCCTCTAGTAGATTGTCCCCACTATTATCCCCTCTCTCATCTTTAATCTTTCCCTTCCGGTTCCCTCCCTGCTATATACAAACCTACCCAAGTCTCACCCATCCATAAACAAACATTAGTATATCTCAGTTATTTATAATGATATTTACAATGATTCACAACTATCCTCGTGGAGCAGCTAGGTGACGCAGTGGATAGAGCTGTGGTCTTGGAGTCAGGAGGACCTGAGTTCAAATCCGGCCTCAGACACTTGACACTTACTAGCTGTGTGACCCTGGGCAG